GGGTGTGTATCAACCAGTCGTCTAGGTACGGATTGATGTGTACCGACATTTGGTGAAGCAGCAGCACTACCTGATTCATCACTCTGGTGAATACGTAGGGCGCTGTGGATAACCCGAAGGGGAGCACCCGAAATTCGAATACTTGGCCCAGATGAGCGAATCGAAAGAGGGGCAACTCGCTGGGTGCATCGGTATGTGCAGGTAAGCATCGCATAAGTCTAAAGAGGCTAGTCAGTCGAGCCGGTGGATGGAGAGTAGGACACTGGATGGTGTCTCCATGCGGAACCGATCGAGAAGCACATACTGGTTTAGTCTGCTTAGGTCCAGAACCGGATGCCAGCCGCCTGTAGATTTTGGTACTACGAATACATTTGAGTAGAAGCCTGGACTTAGTGCCGGCCGAACTATTCTGTGTATGGCGCCCTTTCTTAGCAAACTGTCTACTTCCAGTCTGATTGCATCCGCCTTGCGGGGGTCCCCTGGCAGTGCCCCCAATGGGGGGGACACTGACAGGGGCGGCGGAGATGTCAGTGGTATTCTGTAACCATGTGTGACCACCTGGAGTGTCCAGGGATCGGTTACCCACTGCCTCCAAGCCGGAATGCACCGGCACAATCTGTGTGCGACAGGGATCTGTGGCCATGGGTTCGGTGGTTGCAAGATGGGGGTTCTCCTCTACCGTGAGGTAAGCCTCCCCGTAGATCACTGGGGTTACTAAGCTGTTGCCTGATCTCTTGCCGAACGCAGGCCCATCCCCCCCCCCATCGCAGAGGTAAGCGTCAAACATGCTTACCCCGCTGCCGGGGATGATGACCGCCCGAGGAGGAGGAGGAGGAGCCACCACCTGGTCCCCTCTTTCCTGGTGGCGCGCCGCTACACTTCCCTCCCGCGGATGGGTATGAGTGCTTGCCTCCTGGCCGACTCTGTTTAGTGGAGCTAGTCCTAGAGCGTTGTGCTTTCTGTGCCTGGGGCGCCCTCAGTTTACCCTTGGCAGCGGCCAACTGGCTAGCGGATTCGACTTGGACCATCTGGTTTGTCCAGTCTGCGTAACTGAGGTGGTGACGTACCCCCTGACTCAGTTCGCCGGCGAAAACACACGCGTCTAAAACAGTGTCTCGCTGCACAGTAGTAGCCCCGGCCAAGAGAGCCATATGACACTGGAGGATATCGCACATAGCCATACGGTGGCCTACCATTAACTGTGTCACCTGCTCTAGGAGGCGAGTGCGTTCTGCATCTGAGGTCTCAGAGTCCTGGGCGCGCACAAGAATGCGCTCCAGTGTGGCGCCCACAAATTCAAGGACATTTATTGGTCGCAACTTTGCTCTCAGAGCATGTTGGATAGTCTCAGAATGAGTCGATGAGAATGACCATGGAACGCGGCCATCCCCCTTCACCCGGCTGGCAAAACAGAAGTTTGTGGTACCGGGGTCCGGGGAAGGAGCCTTGGGGTCCGGTCGGGGACTTCTGGTTTCGTCCCACGAATTGGGGTCCGAATCCGAGATTGCCCCGATGGGGTAGCGTTTAGTCCAGCGAAAGGAGTTATGCAACAGATTACCCCAGCCTAAATATGTGGGCGAGAGCGTGTTCAAGAGTGCATCTCATGACAGGGTCGGTTCCCTCTGGGAACGCCTGTGGGTCGGCGAGAAGGGAGTCGAAACCCACAGCGGAACTCGGACTTGAGGGTAAATTAACCAGTCCGGCACCGCGCGGTGAACCCTGGCTGGTTGAAAGCGGGGGGGAGGTACAAAGTATGTCCTGACCGGAAAACGGAGTCCTGGCTACCAGCGTCCCTGTTGGTGTTACGTGTCTGAGGTTCCCGAGGGGTCCTGCTGCCACTAGCCTGCGCCTCGGTCTCCCCCGAATCAGCAGGGGGGGTCACGGCTGGGAACGGGGGGTTCCCTGGAAGAGACGTGTTTAGAATGCGAACGGTGCTTTCTGTGTTTCTTCCTACTTGCCGGCTGAGAGGCCGCAGTGGAGACAGCTCGCTCCGCCTGCAGGTGATCTACTCTGCCTGCCAAGGACGCAATTTGCCCTGACAGTCCTTCGACCAATGCCCTCATTTCAGTGGCAAAACCGGCGCCGTGCGAGGATGGGTCCACAACGGGACCCAGGGGGG